CTGATATTCTAATTTAGATATAAGTTCTGGTAGGCACTGTACATGTTGGTTTAATAGTTGAGCCTTTTTCTCTACCTACTGAAAATTAATCTCTTTCAGAGTAAAGGAAGTAGAAAGGTTAGCCTCCATGTGAAAGTAGATGCCTCTTGAGTCCATTTATTAGTGGACAAATAAAAGTTTTTAGCTAGATTTTAACTGAGAATGTTCTGTGGCAAATTCATTTTTGTAACATAATAATATTGGCTTCTTCTCCCATCCTCAAAGAGTGGGATATCCCCAAGGCTTACTTTTTAGTTTTTCCACCTGGGTGTTTTTATCTTACCTGAAAGATTATTCATGTGTCCAAAATCAAGATAGATCCTTGTCTTGTTAAGGGATTTATTTTCTAAGCTTCCTAGTTCTCTGCATCTAGGAACTCAGACTTGAAGTAGTCACTCAAGACATGTCACATATCACATTTCCTGTACCCATCAAATCATCTTGTTAACTGCTTTCCCTCAGAATGTCTTCTGTCTTAGTGATTCCTGTGGCTGCCATCCTAGTCAGTCTCACTGGATGGATTGCATAATTCCTTCAACAAACATTAGTTGAGTGTCTACAGCGTGCTAATAAGCATTGTGATGGGGTAAGAGTATGTAAGAATGAATAATGTAGTCACTGCTCTGGAGGATCCAAAAGTCTAATGAAGGAATCAGATAGCTAAATAGATAGTCCATTATAGTTTGGTTAGTGAATGCTATGTTAGTCATAAGCCCAGGGCAATCTTGGGACCACAGAGGAAAGGCATCAGCCATTTAGTTACCTCTCTTGACTCTAGTATTCTCTGCATTCCCGTCCATCCCATATTCATTTTGTCTTCCTTAGTCACTGCTTTCTTCATATCCTTTTTCTGATGGAAACATAACTGCTCCTTTATCCATCCCCCTTTAGTTTGTCTCTTCTTCCTGTCCCTTTTTTTATGCTCTGCTTAATGTTCCCACCTTAAAGGGACACTTCTTTTCAATCCAGGCTCCTGGTCTTGCCTCAGAAATATGATGTATTCATTTCCAGTATTGTCTTCTATGAATGGCTTTTCCATTTGCCTTTCCCATTCACTGTCCAAATCCCGGCCGTTTTTTAAGGTTCATTTAGTTCTACCATTGCTTCAAAACCTGTTAAGCTTGTCTGATCATCTACTTACCTCAGCCATATAAGCACTCGATTTATAATATAGCACTGTCTTACATTGCTAGTGTTATTTTTATCTCCTCAAGGAGATTGTAAACTCTTCAAGCATCCCATTATGTGATGCTTTTGTATCCATAGAGCCTAACACAGTGCTGAGCTCAAAACTTAATTGTTGAATTTCAGGAGTATATAAGTAAGGCATTTTTTCCCTCTAACATTAAAAGTTGGTAGATACAAGATATATTCCTTTGATCTACTGGGAAAAGGATGTCTTTAATTGAAAGGTAGAAATCCTTTTTCATTTTGTATAAAAATGTAAAATTGAAACATGGGAGGAAAAAGGAAATATGTTAGCTCACTTCTTTTCAGTCAGTTTGTTCTGAATGCCTGATATGCTGGAGGTAATGGAAAAAACACTTGGCATAAAAGACATGGGTTGAAACTGGCTCTGTCATTTAATGTGGAGCTCTGAGAAAAGCCCAAACCTGAGTCTTAGCTTCCTCATCGGTAAAATGGGGTTAATATTACTCAAGGTTATGATGAAGATTACATAAAGTAATGGATATGGAATGCTTTGTTAAACTTCAAAGCAGTATATAAGTTTTGTATAATTTTATTGTGCCCTCATCTTTGATGATAGTTATGAGGCTATATTTTACAGAAGTATGGATGGATTTCTATATGGTGCATGTTGTGATCCATCAGTAGTAAGTTGCCTGATATTTTCAGGTCAGACTGGCTTTCTTGCCTGTCAAGAGGAAACAGACTTCTATCCTAACAAAGTAATGAGGGTGCTATGATAGAGGGCAGCTAGCTGGGACACCTAACCCAGACCTGGAAGTTGTCAGGGCAAGCTTCCTGGAGGAAGTGAAATTATTGTCTTAAGGTCAGACCTGAAAGATGAGTAAAGGTAGCCAGGGAAAAGTATGAGGGAGAGGGGATAAGGAAATGAGAGAGAGAGGGAGAGAATAGCTCCACTCTGGCTGGCTCTGAAATTGAATCCTATACCATATTTAGATCTGCTAAAGATGGGTGTATGTGATGATTATTATCTCTTTGGCTGTAACTGTTTCATAGAAAAGATCTAGTATCCCTTTATAGTAACAACTGAATAGAATTTATTTGCTGGGGGTGTTAACGTCTTTTCTTTCTTATGTAGCATTGATATATTTTATTTATTAGAACCACAGCAAGAATTAATTTCTTTAGACATTGGTCCATTTTATTAATTCTCTTCAGTCACATTTACTATATAACTACCAATTGCCTCCTTCATGTCTTCTTTGTAAACTATTAAGAGAACTGGAAAATTGGTTTTGGAGGGGTTTTTGTTTATTTTTGTCTATAAAAACATTTACTTTTCCATGGCTTCAGATATTTGGAACGTGTTTATAAGGTAATGTGGGGACACCTCATTTTTGCTTAGTTTAGGAAGAATGGAGAGAAATCTGGGGAAATGTTCCTGTTGAGAGTTCCAGAATAGAGAGAGCATCCAGAATGGCACCTGGCACAAAATAGACTCTCAATAGATAGCTGCTGGACAAATGGATGTACTACATTAGTATAGACAGAACACATTAAGAGAAGGAAAGAAGATGAAAATAAATAGTGAACTGCTAAGTTAGGGTCTATAAGCTGATGATTGGGAAGTAAATTTGTATAAGGAGGCAGAAGCCTAGATGTATAGTTTCACCTACTATGCTTTGCTAAATGAGGCTTTGATATCACATAATTTTATAGTTGTCTATCAGAACTTGGTCAAAACCCTAGTAAGCTACATTCAGCTAAGTCCCCATAAACGAAAAAATACTCCTACTTATCCCCTGTGAACCATATGGAAGATCTGAGTGATCGTTTACAGAGAGAACTAGATCAGGCCCTGAAAAAAATAGACCTACCCTCAGCTCCACTGAGCTACTGGAAGACTAGGCCAATAGTATTTGGCTCAAAACTTGTGAAAATGCCATTCAAAAACTTGTGGCGAGAATCAGCTTTCATCAGATCACTGCATCATAGCAATATTCTTCTGCCATAATTGAAGAAGGTAATTAAGGAGAAAGGGCATTACAATTATTACCAGGGTTTTTAATGCCAGTGAATTTGGTTGGTATTGGAAACACATGCTGACTATAACATTTAGTTGTTGATTTTTTAAAGTAACTTTTTCTCCTGTTTTCTACTTTGTTTTTCTACAAGATCATGGTTTGCCAATAATAGAATTTTTTAGAATTCTAAGTTTCAAAGTTGGCAAAAAATTTCCTATATACGTTAGACTGTTGCCACCTAAAAGAGTCAGAAGAGATGCGTGTGAGAATGTAGGGGAACTTATTTTGGGATATGAAAGAAATGTGTGAACTAAGAACTTTGAGGCTCTGTAGCAATGGTCTTAACACAGTCAAACCTGACTCCCCCCCCAACAAACATTTCTTAATGACCAGGGTACTACCTTGAAATTAAATCTATAATAATATAACTCCTCACATACATAACTACAAAAATAATGTAACACCTTTTCTGCTTATAAGGAAGGAAAATTATCTTTTAAAAAATTTTTTTAAATTTAAAAATTATCTTTTTAAAGATAATTTATAATGTTTCTGTATGTAAGTGTTTGGTATTGATAACTCCAATACTGGGAGTGGCCCCTGTGCTAGGTGGTCTGATTTTCCAAAATGAAATGATTTCTAATAAAAAGTATAATTTCCTTTTTTTATTTAGAGGGCCAGATGCAATACCGAAAAATACAGGTTTCTTTAAAACTGTACAAAAACACTTTCTAATTGTAAAACTGTGGCCAGAAATTTCCAGACACCCTCATAAACTTCTGAAAGGCCCCTATGGGGCTTTAATCCTCTCTTCCCCACTTTGAGAACCACTGCTATATAGAATCACATAGTGTTCTAGTGTTTTATATTAAGATAGCACTACTGACCAATTAGGGTATTTCTTATTAATCATTTTATTAGTAGTACTAGGTTTATTTTGAGCCATTTATTTTTTCTCTACCCGTCCTTTGGGACCAATCAGTGTTTGTGAACCAATTGGTCATTCATAGAGATACTCTTCTTGTGGAATAGAGTTTTACTCCTGATCTGAGTATAGCTACAATAAAAAATACTGGTGAATATGTGGGAAATATAAAAGATTTTTTCTTATTTTTTAATCTCTTTAAAAGGTAATTGGCTGCTTAAGTAAAAAATAGTAACTATATTGTTATTTCTAACCAATTAAAAAATAAAATATATATGACAGTAATAGCACAAAGAATTGATGGAGAAATGGAAGTATATGCTTGCAAGACTCTTAAAAAACAAATGAAATGAGATACTATCCCTTGAAGACTGACTGTGATAAGTTAAAAGATACATATTGTAAATTGTAAAACAACCGCTAAAAAAACAATAAAACTTAAAGAGGCACAACTAATAAGGCAATAAAGGAGATAAAATGGAATCATAAGAAATACTCAGTTCAAAGAAGTCAGAAAAAGAGGAAAGAAAGGGACAAAGTCATGATCCCTGAAACAAGGTCAGATACATTGTGTGGGCCTTTTCTGAAGAACTCAACATGCTTTTTATTGGAAGTCTTTTACAAGTACTCAGGGTATCTCCCACTTTCCCCACTCCCACACTGTCCTGTTTTACAGCTCCCAGGCTCATTCAGCACCTATCTCTGTTCCTTCTCTTTGGTACTCAGGTGGATTTGACTGTCACTAACTACTATATTTGCCAGTACAAGATGTTACATAATAAAGATAAAGCAGAATGAATTGATTACTGATTTTTCTGTGATGTCTCAACATACCTTACCCTTTTCTCTTCCCCTGAATTCAGAGACATGAAAAATGCTGTAATTGGAAACAACAAGCAGAAAGCCAATCTCATTGTTTTAGGAGCTGTTCCAAGGTATGTTTGCTATCAATCCCTTTTCTGATATTCATACTAAGTTTCTAATGTATTTCTCATTCTCATCCATAAGACCCATCTTTTTTCTGTATTGTCTATCCTATTTTTGAAAGTCTCTTAATTTTTAAAATAAATGCTTTGAAATATATGAAGCATTTCTTTAGAAATTTTTAAGTACCAGAGAACGGAATATAAAGCAAATATATTAATACTTTTTGGAAATTCAGGGGAAGATCATTGACCCTGCAATAAAAGGATGTGTTGGGTAGATAGATGATATACACCAGCCTGATTCTTTATCTCCTCAGAGCCTTGGCCAGTTTTTTTGTTTTTTGTTTTAAAGATTTTATTTGTCAGAGAGAGACCACGCGCGCGTGCACAAGCAGGGGGAGTGGCAAGCAGAGGGAGAAGCAGGCTACCCGCTAAACAAGGAGCCCGATGCGGGACTCGATCCCAGGACATTGGGATCGTGACCTGAGCCGAAGGCAGACACTTAACCGACTGAGCCACCCAGACGTCCCACCTTGGCAGTTTTGTATGATTGGATAATAATTTCTTAGGATTCTCAAAGCCTTTTTTGAATTAAAAAAAAAAATCCTGCTAGATTTTTAATCCTGCTTTTCTTTTTTTAATTTCTGATTTTTAGAATTTGCTGTTTTTTAACTTAGAAAGTTTGGTCTTTTTTCTAATGAACTGAATTTCTTTCTGGTAGACGATGATAGTTGTATAACTTTCTCTTTGCCTTTGCTACTCAGAACTAAGTTTTATGTGCAGTTGCTATAAGTTTTTTAATGTTTTGGTTTTTCTTTTTCTTCATTCCTGTCTTTTGATACAGGATTGATGGTTTTATTGTTTTTATCGTAACTGATCTCAAATATATACTTTGGTAACCATAAAGCTCTCAGTAGCCTTTCTTAGGGGATTAGTGTTCAGTGTATATAAATGTACTTTAAGGAGCATGAGTGTTCCACCTTAAAACATAAAGGAGGTGGTCATAAGTGGTGGATGATTAGAGTTTGGGGAGTAGTTGCTCAGCAGGCAGGGCTGGAATGGAAATGGAAGGATCTCCTGATTCCCCAAATGGGAAAATTGGAGAAAGATGAGTTTCCCTTGCTTGAAGAGCTGCACAAGGATTCTGAATGTTCCATCTAGGCTAAACGTCTGTGATCTCTGAACCATACCTCTGGATAGTGCAGGTCCCTTTCTAGTCTAAATTTTAGATCCTACAGTACTTGGCATTGAGTGTTCTCAGTCTTGATATCCTGGAGTGGCAGATAACATGGACTGTAGTGCTGTTTTGTGTGTACTTGTGGAGAACTTCCAGAGTAATTGTTCTGATAAACTCTAAGATTATACATAATAGTCCTTTTGATCAAAATGAAGAAAGTCTCTCTTGATTTTTTTACCCAAATATTCCTTTTCTAAATTAGTAGCTGATATAAACAAATGGTCATTTCCTAACCTTCTATTAGCTCACCAACCATATTTTTAGTGGGATATATTGGTAGCATTTTTCTGTCACATTACTTTTAGCTAATTTACTTTTGTTTAATTGTTTTGTCTCCTCTTTATCAAATTCCTTCTTTTTAGATTGTTGTACTTGCTTCAGCAAGAAACCTCAAGTACAGAGCTGAAAACTGAATGTGCAGTGGTATTGGGAAGTCTTGCTATGGGTACTGAAAACAATGTCAAGTCTCTTTTAGATTGCCATATTATCCCTGCCTTACTGCAAGGTATGTAAGGAAGTCATTTTTGTACAAGGAAAAATTAGAATCAGTTTGCAGTGTTTAAAATACGGACTGAAAGGATGAGTCTCAGGTCCATTTTCTATTAATAGGACTACTATCTCCAGACCTGAAGTTCATTGAAGCTTGCCTCCGATGCCTGCGAACCATCTTCACCAGTCCCGTCACTCCAGAGGAGCTACTATATACAGTGAGTTTTAGAAGTTTTCGAATCATCGGTTACATTTCACTAACAGCATACCTCTACTTACTCAGCATCTCAAAACTCATCATAACTGTGTTACAGAAAAGTCTCAAGAAGTATTTCAGTTCTAGCATGCCAATTTGCAAATATCGAATGTTCTAGGTATTATAAAGAAGTGAAAGATAGTATCAGACCTTGAGGAATTTATAAGCTGTTTAAAAAAAAAAGACCCATGGGGCGCCTGGGTGGCTCAGTTGTTAAACGTCTGCCTTCGGCTCAGGTTATGATCCCAGGGTCATGGGATCGAGCCCCGCATCGGGCTCGCTGCTCAGTGGGGAGCCTGCTTCTCCCTCTCCCACTCCCCCTGCTTGTGTTCCCTCTCTCGCCGTGTCTCTGTCAAATAAATAAATAAAAGCTTCAAAAAAATTTTTTAAAAAGACCCATTTTGATCTCTTAATATCAAAATAAGGCAGTATAGTTAATGTACTCACTTTAGGTTAAATCCAGCAGAGTAGGCTTTACAGAGAATTTGACCTGGATCTTGAATAATGGATAACATTTAGAGAAGTGGAGAGGAAAGAGGCCATTCTAGGAAAGATCTGTGTAAGAGAAAGGATGCAGAACAGTGGGCAGAATAGGCTAATGTGGGAAGGGCATCAGTGTTCGTTTCAACAGAAGAAGTGAACCAGAAATGGCTTGCAGGAGGCTTACTTGCCAGGCTAGAATCCGAGAATATGTGTGAGAGAATCCAGAGATCTTTGGAGTCATTCAGTAGTTTTCAAAAACCTTAGGGATTACTAGGGGGCCTTTTAATCTGTTGATTACATGGGCCTGTCTTAATGAACATTATCCAGGCCAGTGTTTTTCAAACACTCTCATCTGCAGTCCGTGATAAGAAATACATTTTCCATTGCCACACGGTGTGTATGTCTGTGTGTGTGTGTGTGTGTGTGTGTGTGTGTGTGTGTGTGAGTGTGTGAGTGAGAGAGAGAAAGAGAGAATATTCCTGAGACAGTCTTCAAAAACAGTTCCATAAATGTGATACCCTCTGGTTACTAGTCTATCCTTCCTTTCTCATTTTTAGAAAAATGCTGGTTGTGATTCTGTGAGCCAATCACAGTGTCAGATAGGACATATATAAGTCAGAGATCTTATCTAGAATCACATTTAAAATATTTCAAGAGCATAAGCAATCAGGAGGCATAGGCAGCAGAAGCGGGGGTAGGGGCATGTCACGAGTCTCCACAGTCCATTCTCCCCACATCAGATACATGCTCCTCTGGCCCATAATGGTACATGAAGTCTGTAAGTGAGGTTCATGGGTCACTTTACACAGCAGGGAGGCTCTAAATTATGAAACATCTCAATTTTACACCTCAGGGATTTGTGCAGTATTCTTCAGGGAGCGATGCCATATAAATTGGTATTGTTCACTACGACAGTTCTCAGAATTGAGAATGGACCACGATTAGCTGGAGGGTTTATTAAGCACAGATTGCTGGAGCCTCCTGCCAGACTTTTTGAGTCAGTGAGTCTGGGGTAGGGCCTGAGAATTTGCTTTTCCAACAAGTTTCCAGGTAACTCAGAGGCTACTGGTCCATGGACTGCTGTATGAGGACCACTGGTTTACTGTAAGCAGTCCTAAATTGGGGACATCCTCCTCAAAGCTTTATACAGAGAAGGGCTCTCCTTCTAGTAAATATCAGTTTGTTTCCCTGAAAATCCCATTGTGATGTTTACAAAGAGATTAAACCAGTCACCTGTCTTCTTTACCCTAGAAGTTACTCTCCAACCCCTAGCCCAGTAAGTGAGAAATTGGTCCTGGCCAACAGTTCTAACTCCTTTCTCCTTGCTTTCCAAAATGATTTTATGGCCCACTAATGATTCATGGTACATAATTTTGAAAACTAGTGTACACCAACTTAACTTTTTTACATAAGAAAATTTAAGACCCAGGGACATTAAGTGACTTTCACAGTGACAATGTCTGTTTTATGCCTCAGAGATAATGGTGACTCTGTGAAGAATGTTGGATGGGATTATGACAGAGAGTAGTGTTTTAGTGTAATTAACTGCCGTCTGTGAGTTGGATTGTATAGAGCCAGCTGGCACAGCAACTTAGGCACTAAACTGAAAACAGGGCAGTCCACTTAGAAGAAGGTAGGATGTCTAGTTTGAAATCCTGTTTATCAATTGGGTGACTTTGGGCAAATTATGTAACTGTTCTTTGTTTAATCAACCATAAATTGTAGATCTGTAAGACAATTGGCAGAAAGGGGCAGGTGTGAAGAAATGGGATGAAGCTGTTATTACAGGAAAACTGAGAGATGAGAGAGCAATGGAGGAAAGAAAGGAGGTGGAAGTAATTTCAGGAGCTTAATAGAAGCTTTCATATCATCCTTCAATTGCCTGTTCTTTTTTAGCTGCTACCTGCTTCCCTGTCTTCTGCCAATGGAATCAGTTTCCCCTCCCCACTCTATAAAATAGACATGTACTTGACACTCTCATCTTCTCTCTTTTCTTTCTATACATTTAGTACCTGACTTTCTTTGGGGTTTTCTAAATTTTTCATTTTGTTTTTAAACTGCTTGTGATAACACAAAGGGTTATACTAATAAGCAAAGGGAAAGATTCTGCTTAGAGGGAATCAACTGCCTTCTGTTTTCTCACTTAGCTCTTAAAGATTTGGGGCATTCTTTTCTTTGTAAGGAAACCCCAAATCTTGTTCATGCCAACAGTGGTACTCTTAAGTTTCCTTCCTTGCCCTCTGTTGTCTTATGTCAAAGTGTGGTCTATGGACCAGCAACATCAGCCTTATCTGGGAGCTTAGATCTTACTCCAAACCTATAGAATCAGAATCTCTACATAATGACTATCCCCTGGGAATTTGCATGCACATTCATATTTGAGAAGTGTAGCTCTAGGACTATGACAGGATTGACTAGGAGGCTTGAGCTAAGTCTCCTTTTCCATCTGTGGTTCAGATCAAATACCCTTTCAACTTTTAATTCCCTTTGCACCCTAAGAAGGGGATTCTTGGAGAGCCCTGCAGCAAATTGGGCAGGTTCTCCTCTCTCCTACTGCACCAACTTGTATATTGCTAAGTTTCAGCAATAGGCAGAGAACATGCTCTAAGTGAGGAGTTGATATTTTGCAAATTATCTTGTGAAAATTGAAATTAGCTAACTACAGTCTTATGATTCTTACGAGTAACTGATACCACAACATCTCAGAGATCAAAACTGTCAAGTTTTATTTTTATACAGTAATTCCTCCTTATAGGCTATTTGTTATTATATATCTTATTAGTTCACATTTTGGTTTCACAACAGATTTCTGTCAAGTCTTTTGAAATGATTTTGTCTTATTGTGGGGATATAGGCTGTTTATGGGAGAGAGATTGAGAATTTCTTATTCTGGTATTTTGTTGTTGAGGATGAATATTGAAGCCCCTCATCCTTTACCTAAAAATTTTGGTGACTCTCTTGTTTTTGTTTTGCTGTGTTCTTTAAAGAGACTTGATTTACTGTGATTAAGAAGCTTGCATATGTACCTGCTCATGGAAATAGTTTGTTAGATGTACTCACAGTGCCTAAGTTCCTTGTTGCTGTGCTCTCTTTTCCTTCTACTCCAGGATGCCACAGTGATACCACATCTCATGGCGCTACTTAGCAGGTCCCGCTACACCCAGGAGTACATCTGTCAGATCTTCTCACACTGCTGTAAAGTAAGAACCAGAATAAATGTTCTCTGTAATGTAAAATCTTCTGTGTCCCCGGAGATGTGCCTTCTTTGTGTGTCCTCCCAGAGATAACCTGTACATATATAATTATGCAGACCTATGTATATTCTCCCCCCTCCCCTGTTTTTATATATAAGCAGACCTACGTATATATTCCCTTCTCCTTTTTTGGACACAAATGGTAGCATTCCATACATTAAGTCCTGTACCTTGAATTTTTCATTTAACATATCTTGAAAACTATTCCATATCAGTACTTGGGGATACTTATGTACAAGTACATAAGGAGCTCCCTCATTTTTTTTTTTCAACAGCCGTATAGTATTTTACTATACAGATACACAATAATTTGTTTAACCAGTTCTCTACTGTTGGACATTTGCCTTGTTTCCAGTCTCACATTATTACAAAACAATGCTGCAAAAATATCTTGTGTAAGACATTTTATAAGAAATGAAATTGCTGAGTCAAAGAATGTGTGCATTTGTAATCTTACCACATACTGTCTTGTATAGAGGTTGTGCCCTTTTATATTCCTACCAGCAGTGTGTGATCAAAACTATTTCCCCACACCCTCATTGTTGGAAATTGTTTTAAGTGATCTCATACAAGGAGAAATGAGAGATTCTTCTCTGCTCTTTGTTGAGAGAAATTTCTGTTCCTAAAAGGGCCTCAACCTAAACTGAAGAGTGCTGCAAAGTGCTACTTCCTTTGTTTCATAGTTTACATACTGAGTGTAGTCTTTTGATAGCCATGGGAGATTATGTATTTGAGATCTTTCATAATTTCTACACATTTGCCAATTTCTAACCAAATGTTTATCTTCTAATGATTCTATAAATTTTTCGGACAGCATTACTTATCTACCTATATTTATAATACAAAGATAAAATGAAGAGTTTGGGGAACTGTAGAAAATAAAGGAAAGAGAAGTGAACACCTACATATGAAACCAGGAAGATCACACATGTATGCTATTTTAGAACAGCTGCCCAAATAAATGAAAATTAAATCACTTGGTTCCAGAAAAAGTATCATTATAATTTAATTGTTTAACTCTTCCTTCCCAAATCCTAGCAGGCTTTCACAGCCTATTCAGTTCTATTTAAGACATTTAGAATTTAAGGATTTTGTCAAAAATCTTTGAAGTTTCTCTTCCCAGATTGCCTTGACCATGTGTAAGCCAACTCATAGGTCCAGGGATGTCAAACACTCCCTTAATCTTTTGAAGTGGGCAAAGAAAGGCTTTGAGAAACTGACAGTTTTGTTGCAATTAATTTCCTAAAAATGAGCTGAACTTAATAGGGTGTAGAATTTTCCAACAGTGAAGTGAAGTCTTGTAGCCCAGCCCTGGCAGATAGGTAAAGAAGGATACTCCTGAACTCCTGTGCCTCATTAAAAATCTTTCTGCGTCTATACCTAAGTGCTTGAGAGCACAACATCTAATAGTTATAACCACGGTAATCCCAAAGGGGCACTGAAAATTGGACCTGGAGGTATAATTACTACATGTCAAATTATGTTAAATTATGAGAAGTTTGAATAATCCCATTCCAGAAGTTACCCAAATAGCTTTTAGAATTACTCATCAGAAATTTCTAAATCCCTTTAGGCTTGCTCATCTAAAACTTCTCAGTACTTTTTAGCTGAAATGGATAAAAGAAAACCATTAAATCATTAGTTCTTTTGCTGGAGAGAATCTTATGCTGAGCAAGAATTTATAGGCATCTTCATGCCACTAACAGAGCTGAAGATGGTATCAGAGAAAATCACCTTAACTGAGCTTTCTTTTAGCCTGGTAATTAGCATTTGCCACTGTAATTAAATGACCAAATTTGAGTGTTCTGAGATATAACTAAACCTTAGGAAATATAGCATTTATAAACCCAGTGCCAATAGCCTAATATAAATATTAATTTTTCTACTGACTTACCAGCATGAATCTTTGAAAACAACTGATCTGATGATCTCTGTATAGTTATTAACCATAAAAACCTTTTATTTTCATGCTGTTCAATTTGCATATAGACTTAAAATAGGATTTATAATAGAATTTTCAGACTCATTCACAACTTTGCATATACATTTGTCCCTTGGACAATGTGAGAGTCAAGGTGCCAGGCCCTGCTCAGTCAAAATTAGGCATGTACTTTTTGACCCCCCCGCAAAACTTAAGTACTAATATAATCCTAATTATATCTTTGAAATTCTCTCCCTGATTTATTAAGGAGCAAAAAAAAAAAGACTAGTAATATTAAATTGTTGCCACTTCTTAAACAGGTTACTCAAACTTCTGAGACCTATCTTTTGGAGTTTAAAATCTTGAGGGCTTATTTGCTTCCCACCCTATGGATGTTGCCTCTCTAGCCCAGGTCAATGTGGGTTTATTTGAAGAGACCTAAGGGAGACTTGATAAGAATCAAATGATAGCACCTACTCTAGTTGGTTCAGCCAACGGTTCCATTCCTTGCAATTGTTTTTACACGATCCTATGTATAACCACAGAGAGGAGGAGGAAGAGCTGCTTTTGTAATAATTATTTCCTGTAATTTCTGGGGCAAAGAAATTGAGAGATTAAAAACTACAGTATCTTGTAAGAGGCAGGGAACAGTTAATGTTAATTGCATTGTGCTTGATCTTTTTCATAATATAAGTTCATCAGTACAGACATTCCATAAGTGATCTAGCTCTTAAAGATGCATGCACATGGATATTTATTGAAGTGATGTTTGTAATAGTAAAAGATTATAAACAATCTAAATGTCTAACCATAAGGTACTAAAGTATGGGTTATCCATATAGCGGAATAAGGTCAAAAAAGAAATAAGAAAGCTCTTTATGTACTCATATGAATGATTTCTGGGAAATAGTATAAAGGAGAATAAAAGGTTTGAAGCAATATGTATAGTATGTGTATAGTACATATAGCACATATATGTAGTATTTTACCATTTGTGTTAAAATAGGGGAAAGGATATACTTACGTATTTGTATATGTAAGGTTTGAAGAATATAAAACAATCTATTAGTATTAGGTCACTTCACAGCAGAGGAACAGAGATAAATACAGAGACAGAAGAGCCGTGAGGTGCAAGGGTAGAGGCAGTATCCTGTCTACTTAGCTATTCTCCTGAACACTGCCAATATTTAAATTAGGATGTTAAAATTTATAATGGAAGGCAAAAAAAAAAAAAAAACACACCTTAGTATGCTAACCTGTCAGCCTAGTGTAATTTAGACTTATCTTCACAATTTAATTACCTACTTGTTACTATGTAAGAAAAAAAATAAGTCAGATTCTTAGGAGACCCTTCTTTTCCTGGGCTCCCCATTATAGTCTCCACAACTATCTTTATATTGAATAAGCTGGAGACTCATTTTCAAATGAGACGATTCAAGTAAAGCATTTAGAGCAGTGCCCAGCACATAGCAAGTACCCAATAATTAGTACCTATAATTATAATTCCAGATGCATGGATGAAGATGAGGTAGGAAGATAAAGAGTATACTTCCAGCCTGTGCCCTGAGAATGTCAGTATCTTTAGTTGTTCTAAAAGCAAGCCTGCATTATTCTGGGTGGATATGTAGGGATAAATTTATCAAGCTGTGATTTATCCTCATACTCTTAAGAGTTTGCACTGAGATGGGGCTGGCTTTAATAATGTTCAGCAGAACATTGTTTTTAATAGTGAGACATTAGAAACTGCCTAATATATGTAATGGGGGTTTGCCTGAGTAAAGTGTGGAATATTTTGCATCAAAAATCAGAAATTAGGGGCGCCTGGGTGGCTCAGTCGTTAAGCATCTGCCTTCAGCTCGGGTCATGATCCCAGGGTCCTGGGATCAAGCCCTACATCGGGCTCCCTGCGCAGCCGGAAACCTGCTTCTCCCTCTTCCCTCCCCCTGCTTGTGTTCCCTCTCACGCTGTCTCTCTCTCTATCAAATAAATAAACAAAATCTTCTTTAAAAAAAGTCAGAAATTAGAAGTTAGTAAGGAAATTGCTGAAGTGTTTTTGTTTTTTAAAGGAGCCTTTTAATGGTATATAAAATGTTCAGGGAATTACTACCTGTAAAATAGGATATGGCTGTTTTGTGATTCAAAACTATGAATACTAATCTCCCCACTTCAGATGATGGATATTTTGGTCCAGGAAAGAATGCGCATCTTCAGGATCATTGTTACTTGGCTGAATAGTGGGTTGGAAAAATTGATTGGAGAGGGTTTTTTTTTCTAGACTAGCAACTGGTTTTCTCTGGTGAACCCAGATAGGTAGCCAACTTTCAGTGCTGTATTTTTCTCTTCTAATAATGATAAGCATGAAGTAGCATCCTTATCCTTGCTTTGACTTCATTATATGGGCGGGTGGTACATAAAATCATTGCATAAGAGGGGCACCTGGCTGGCTCAGTTGGTAGAACATTCGACTCTTGATCTTGGAGTTGTAAGTTCAAGCCCCATAATGGGTTATAGAGATTACTTAAAAATTGAAAAATATTTTAAAAAAATCAATGCATACAAACTGTGGTGATTTCGAAGACTTGCATTAACCTTTAGCTTCTGTCACTTTGAAGATTTCAATAAATTGCTTAGTAGAAGACAACTGGTGAAAAATAAAATCGTGTATTTTCTCATTTCTTTACCTTCCTACTCTAAGAAATGATAATTTAAAAGAGAAACGAGATAGAAACAGAAACCAAAACACATTCACTTCTCTGTATGGAGTGTTGTGTTTTCCACCATCCATAATTCAAACTTCCCTGATGTATTGAGGTAGGTTAAGCTCTGGTCCAGTTCTTCTTGCATGTAATTAGTTTTAGAGTTCCTCTGACTAGTTCATCAGTCTGAAGTTGTAAGAATGACTACTGTTCTCCAGCGGCATAGTGTAAGTTTGTGCACATGAAATGCAGAATTCACGGTGGTTCTGTTGCTATGATGGTGTGTTATTTAAGAACTGCAAAGGGCCTGTGCCAGGATAGCTTCTGTGCCCCCTTCATTATTTGGGGGTAGGTAAGGAAGCAGTAGTTCTACAGAACTGGGATGACATAAGAAATGGCAGCCCTTTGTCTACCCTGCTTTATTAGGATGGATTTATGCAAGAGAAGGGCAGCTGACAATTTGTAGTAAATGAACTTTTCTACATTTAAGTAAGTGTTTTGTTGGAATGAATCATTACTCTTTTTAATGTTATATTCTCTTTTCTTACAGGGTCCAGATCATCAAACAATTTTATTTAACCATGGTGCAGTTCAGAATATTGCTCACCTACTAACCTCAGTATCTTACAAAGTAAGATGTTAAAAAAAATTATGGCCAGATTTTTATACTTTAGTTTTGGTTTCTAGAGTCTTGAACTAGATGGAGGCCCACATATTTTATTGCTTTGATAGATATTGTGATCAAGAATAAATAACATTTTATCAATAAAATGTTATGGGGCATTGTTTTACCTATAGAATCCTCTTTAAAAATTTTTAAAAGCTACCCTTGCCTTTCCATTTTTTTTTTTCCAGAATATGGTTGTGGCTTGATTTGCTATTGATTTTCACAGTCTCTTCTGCTCTGTCAGTGCCAAAGCTGCACATGAGGTGATGCCTTGAAGTATGTAGGAACAATGGCTTGCTATATCAGGAAATACTTTGATTTCCTATTTGAGACCTGACTTAGCCACAGTGACTCAAATTTAGAGCATATACCCACATATACATCAACATTTAAAATGTGTTACAAGGGTACCTGGGTGGCTCAGTTGGTTAAGCGACTGCCTTCAGCTCAGGTCATGATCCTGGAGTCCCGGGATCAAGTCCCGCATTGGGCTCCTTGCTCAGTGGGGAGTCTGCTTCTCCCTCTGCCCTCCACCCTGCTCTCGCTCACTCTCTCTCTCAAATAAATAAAATCTTAAAAAAAAAAATGTGTTACATATTTCAAAAGGTGAAGTCTCATAAAAACTTAGGTTTTTGTCTGATGCTTTGTTTTTTTAATTGTGTTGTTTTGTATTTTGAGTTAAAAAGTCAAAGGTTTTCAGACTTGTTAATTAAATTTCCTTCACTGTGTTTTATATATGGGTAAACAGCATCATGATATTTTATCAAGCATTAAGTTAAAAATTTGGTCATTTCATTGTTGTCCAGCTACCAAGTTATAGCAGATAATGGGGCATTGTCGTTATTGTGTCACATTAGAGCTGGTATGCCATGACTTTGACGCAGAACAGAGAGAGCAGTAGTCATTTTTGTCTTCTGTCCTCGTGCGTGCACTGATTCTAATCTGGTCTGTATTGCAGCTTGCTAATACCTATGTTTTCCTACTTCAGACATCCAAAGTTTGATCTTGAAGCACTCGCAAGGATAGGAATGGGGAATGGAGCCAGCTTGAAATTAGCCAGAGGGAGGGAAAGGAAATATATACTGAGAGCCGCTTCCTCTACCCTGTGCCTTATGGAGGCTGAAACCAGTCAGCACTGGCACATCAAGAAACAATTACTGGGGTGGCTATTTACTGTTCTTCCTCTTCTCCATCCTCTAGCTTCATAAACTCCCTCAGTTCTCCCTCTTTTTGTTTTGTTTTGTTTTCTTTTCTGCACTAAGCTTCCTTATCTACTATAATAGATTACAAGTTGTGAAAGGAAAAAGGTTTTGGTAATATTTTTCTTTTGCCAAGGTTTGCTCCATTGTCCCAAGGATCATTGGAATACTTTGGGTGTGCACATCCTGTGCTGCAGATCATTGCTGAGATGAGGGACAGGGCTTCTTCACACTTCAGCTACCTATCCTGCCAGTCTCAAATTCCACATAAGAACATCATATTGTAGACGCAGGCTTGGAAGTGAGGATTAGATTGTCTGGTGAGAACTGAGCAGAAAGAATGAAAAATAACAGTTCTCATAGGAGCTCCTGCAAATTGTAAAAGAGATTGTATGTAGTCAAGGGTTTGACCCGTGTTATGGTCCCAGACCAGTAATCTGGTTTTGAGGAATAGTAGCACAATTCATAAGTGGTTTTTTTTGTCGTTGTTATTGTTGGTTTTTTTAATTTGAATTCAGTTAACCAACGTATAGTACATCATTAGTTTTTGGTATAGTGTTCAATGATTCACTAGTTGTGAATAACACCCAGTGCTTTAAAAGTTAAATTAGGAGGTGCCTGGGTGGCACAGTTGGTCAAAGCATCTGACTCTTGGTCTCGGCCCGGGTTGTGGTTTCGGGGTCACGGGATCAAGCCCTACATCAGGCTCTGCGCTCAGCGTAGAGTCTGCTTGGGGCTCTCTGTCCCTCTCCCTGTGACCCTCCCTCCTCCCGCTTTCTCAAAGAAATAAATAAGTAAATCTTTAAAAAATAAAACAGAAGTTAAGTTAGTTTAGTCCTTTCCAGATTTTTACTGTAACTTTGTTTCCTTCTGTTCCTTTGACACAACCCCATCCCGCACACAACTATAAGAGCACACTTTTTTTTTTTCTTTTGTCCCTTTTTTGTCTTCTCTTCAGTTCTCTGGTTTGTAGTTTGGGAAGAAGAAATGTCCCACTTGAAAGGCAGTTGGTAATTAAGTGTTCATGAAGCTCTCTTTGATTTACCAACATTGTATTTTGTACATTGTTCTTTTAAATTTGATTAGGAATTTATCTAATTAAATCTTAGTTGCTACTTCCTGTTTTTTCTTTTCTGTTACTTCAAAATTAATTTTAACTTTTTATAATTAAGTTTAACTTAACTGTACTCCAGATATCCAGGTGTTATTTTTATTCCCTTGAGACCTTCTTTTAGTATTTTAAGCAGATTTAAACAGTTGTTTCTTCAGAAGAGTTTAGATTCTGAGACATTAAAATTCATATTTGCAAAATCAAGATAAATGCATTTTTTTGTTTATTGTTACAGGTTCGAATGCAAGCACTGAAATGCTTCTCAGTTTTAGCTTTTGAAAACCCCCAGGTATCGATGACCCTGGTAAATGGTAGGCTGGAACTTTCAGTGGCACCTACATGATTTAATTTATGAACTTTGTATATTTAAAGAGTTGCTTAATTCTTCTTGTTTGTTTTATTTCTAGTTTTGGTTGATGGAGAATTGTTACCACAAATTTTTGTGAAGATGTTACAGAGGGATAAGCCTATTGAGATGCAGCTGACGTCAGCAAAATGGTAAAAGTCAGGACAATGTGGGAAGAACAGCAGTGCTTTATCAATATGTTAGAGAACTTTTAGACAGCCTGATTAGCTCACCTCCAGTCCCCATCTTGTTTTGGGATTTTGGAATTTGCAAGTCATGGGGTTGTCTCACATTTTCTTAAATGGGCATGAGTTTTTTACTCAGTGTACTACTAGTAGCATGCAGAACAGCAACACTCATATAACAGCTAAGACTATCACAGAAAATTACTTTATTATATTCTCAACATACTCCTTGTATTTCAGTTGAAATAATATAAAATTAGATTTAACTAAAAAAATTTATGCTAAGAATTAAGAAAATACAAAGATAGGAAAATAATGGAGTGAGAATTAGTTGAAGTTGATAACCAAGGCATGATTTCAGAGAATATGGCTTCCTCATCTTTAGAAAAACAAGACATAAAATTCGTATAGAGATGTGACAGTTTATAACATAATTTCTTATTAGTACAAGTCCTAGCTCATATAAGCATTCAATACATGTCAATTCTGTAATTATGAATACATTTAATAGATAGGTTGAGCACCTGTTATATAAGGTTCTTTGCTAAATTGTTCCAGTATTTAAGAATTTGTGGCTTTCTAGTATTTCAGGCGAGAATGAGAAATTTTCAGTGAATTACTCATGCACAATGAATTGTTTTTGTTTTTTGTGGGGTTTTTTTTTTTGAGTATATTATTTGTATGCTTGTTTGCTTTTTGTCTTCAAAAACCTTTTTGTTAAGTAAGATAAATGCTCTCATGGAACTGGTTTAAAAAAATGTGGTGACAAGTCTTAAGATGATTACAGCTATAAACAATTCGATCCTCTACAATCTAGGTAAAAGTTTTATTGATTTTTTTTTATAGCTTTCTATAAAAGCCAGATTATGGAGTGTTTTAACCACGCCCCCCTTTACTAAAGGACCCTAATCCAAAAAGGAAATTCATTAAGTTTCTGAAGTGTTCAGTACCTGCTTAGGGAGTACCAAGTAACTTTATTCTTATTCAAAGCCAGATATAATTATGAAGGCAAATTGTTTTTTAGTAGAACCAAATCAATGACCAATTGTCAAAGCCATTGCTGGCAAACTCTGAAGAGTTATTAGTTAATTTCTTATGGCTACTGCTAAGAGTTAAAAGTTAAATGCTTTTTCTGTGATACTTGTACTACTGCTATTGGAGTTAGACTATCCAAGCTTAGCTTGATTTAATCTTAGACACTTTGTGAACTTTATATTTTATTTTTAACTTTCCCCCCCTTTTTATTATGGAAACTTTCTCACACGAGAAAGTTAGAAAAAATTATAAGGAACTCCGTTGTGCCCAGCACCTAGCTTTAAAGTTTATCTGCTCATTAAGCCTTTATTTTTAAAACAATTTTGTATGTATTTTTGAAAAATATCTGAATTACTGTTGTATATTTATCAGTTAGTTGTTTTTGAGTATTAAATTGGCAGAACCTCATCAAAGATAATATGAAAACCTTCTCCCTCAAGATAAATAAGAGTAGTTGTCTTTTTTTTTCCATAAAATCCTAAAGGCAAGGAATTTTTCTTTTAAACCTTTAAAACACAAGCAAAAACTTACTTTCTGCCATCTTATTCCAGTTTAACTTACATGTGTAGAGCTGGAGCAATTCGGACAGATGACAACTGTATTGTATTAAAGGTGAGCTAATTAATTCTCTCTAAACACATGCAAAAGTTCCCCAGTCGTAAGTGTTGAATTTAAATATTGGTATTCCTGTTTCTTTTTTTTCTCTTATTTCTTTTTATACATTTATAACTATGGTATGTGTGCATAGCATAAAATAATATTAAAACACCATGCTTTTCTTTTTAATGGAATGCCATGTAGTTTTAAAAAATTGTTTTTAGATGTGTCTTGAGAGTCAAAGTGAAGTAGTTCTTTTCCTGTCACACCTTTTTCATTTTTATGGAAATTATGAGGATCTAGAAGTTGTAAAAATATGTAAAATTCAGGTGAAATAGAAAATATATTTTAATCCTTGATTTTCATTAAGTTTGAACATAGTTTTATAGGAAAGCAGTTCATTAGCTCTGTAGACAAAGACTTTATATTACCCTCATGGCAGATAATCAAAAGACATAATGAAAAAGAAAAAAATAGCACATGAAAACCATCAACATATTGTGACATGTCAAAAGCGACTAGAACTCAGAAAAACCCAGGTAAGAGATTGGCCCTAAAAGTTACAAGACCTGGATTCTGGTTTCAGCACTCCCACCCCTGACTGACTTGAGTAACCCTGGGCACCTCCCTTACTCTTTTGGTGCCTCATGAAAGTGGAGGCAATAATTTTTGTTCATCTATCCCACAGGGTCATTTTGAAGATAACAATATATTAAATATATTAAACGTCTTATTAGCTACAAAGAACAAAATAAATGTAAATAAATTGATTATCATTTTATGATCGTGAGATCTCTCATTATCAGTGTACAAAATGAACCTAAGGATAAAAGAGCATTAAGACTAATGTTTGCTTTAGTCTTTGGTGAAGCAAGTCAATTAATTAGAACTGAGGACCGACTAAGCATCATTGTGTAGAGTTCTAAGGGATTCCATGCAAGTAACCTTGGTTTATTTGCTCAACTGCTCTACCCCTCCTCTTCTCCCTTATTGGTAAACTAGGTTAATAGCATCTTCTTCATGTAGTAATTGTGAGTGTTAAATTCAATAATCCATGAATTTATGGTATTAATAAATGTTAGTAACTGTTCAGAAAAAAATAAGAATAAGGCTTTGCTCTTGGAAGCCTAGGATTGTATTATAAAGCCTGCACTAGCCTGATAGGAAATCAGTAGTGTACAGTAAAGTGCTAAACTCTATGATAAAGATATAATAGGAACTTAGAAAAGAGCAAAGCACAGTTGATTACAGTAATTGAGGAAGGCTGCTTATAACATTTCAATTTCCATTTTTTGTGGTATTGTTTAAAGTGGGTTCATCAGCCTTAGAAATAGTAAATACATGGAATATTTTTATTGAGAACCTGATGTAGATAAATTACCAAGACCAGCACCAAGGTTTTTGAAGGACCTCAGAAGTAAAATTGGACTAGCAGGTCTAGTCATTCTAGGGAGTGATTTAGAAAACCTAGGAACTACGATGGATGCATTTCACTCACATTATAGGAAAACTTATGGAATCTGAGTAATGGTAAGATCACTGAATTTTTAAAGCTGTATTTTGGTTTTGTAGGTGAGAATCACACCCCAAAAATAAAAGTCATCCCATTTTATTATTATTCACTAAAGAAAAGATAGCATACTTTTTCTACAGCACAGTTGTTCCTGATTAAACTGCTGGATGTCTTTTATCAGCACCACGCTAACCACCTGAGCTAACCGGCCACTTTGCCGGATGTCTTTTAAGTAAATAAATACATAGATGGGACAGAAACCTCAGACATGATTTATTAGGGATTCTTAAATGTCTTTTATAAGGTTGTATAATAAAGTTTCAATTTTATCCATCACAAAAGCCTGATTAGAGTTTGTATTAATATGCTTTGGTTGTATGATTAGGGTTTAGTATGCCAGCACAAATGATTAATATACACTGAACTTTGTTTTTACATTCCAAACAACCTTTCATTCTCTGAAACATTTGATCACTAACTTGACTGCCAATAAAAACCATGGAGTTGATTCAGTCACTATATGCTCTCCATCAAGCTTTTGCCTTTACCACAAAGCAAATAATTAATTTCACTACCTTCCAGACACTGCCTTGTTTGGTTCGAATGTGCAGTAAGGAGAGATTACTAGAGGAGAGAGTTGAAGGAGCTGAGACACTCGCCTATCTGATTGAACCAGATGTTGAGCTACAGAGAATCGCTAGCATAACTGATCACCTCATTGCCATGCTTGCTGATTATTTCAAGTATCCCAGCTCAGTGAGTGCCATCACTGATATTAAAAGGGTATGTTCTGTTTTTCTTTTCAGCAGCTCAAGTAAGGGATTTTTAAGTTTTTCTTACTGCTCACAACTTTGAGCCAATTAATAATTACAGTTCAAAGCCCTTTTAAATGAAGGAATCTTTTCCCTCTGATAACAAAGATGATGTTTTGTGGGTTTTTGAATCCAGCTTGTCTCACGTAATTACCAGAAATTTTTCACTAAGCAGGTAATCAGGAAGGAAGAAAATTACATCCCTAAGTCCCAACTAAAACCCAAAAATAGTGGGGTCTCTAAGCTGGGTATTTACATTATATCAACATTATCTATCCTGTTGAGGTTCCCAGAATCATCTCTCTTGCTGTATTCTCGTTCTTTAGGTCAAAGATAATCTTCTGTGACAGGTGATGTGACCTATTTGACTCTCCACCACTGTCTTTCTCTTTTGCTATCTTTTCTAACTTTTGTCATCTTCTTCTCTTACCTTGCTTCAGTTTTATACTGTGCTTTGGGCCTGCTAGTGTCAGCTAAAGCACTGTTTAACTTCTAGTTTGAGACCACCAAGAACCAAACTGTGCTTTCCTCAGACTTTTTTTCAAACTCTAAGTTCCTTAGAATAGTTAGATATTTTTGACTTTGTTCTTCTCAGCCTATTTGTCATATCCATTTCTCTAAGTATAAGAAAACAATATTCAATTAGAGAAAGTTTATTTAAGGAGGTTATGGTAGAGAGGCGCCTGGGTGGCTCAGTGGTTAAGTGTCCGCCTTTGGCTCGGGTCATGATCCCAGGGTCCTGGGATCGAGCCCCACGTCGGGCTCCCTGCTCTGCGGGAAGCCTGCTTCTCCCTCTCCCACTCCCCCTGCTTGTGTTCCCTCTCTCTCTGTGTCTTTCTGTCAAATAAATAAATAAAAATCTTAAAAAAAAAAAAAAAGAGGAGGTCATGGTAGAGAGAGCATTGCCTCCTAATTAGTAACCAGTACTGTTTCATGAATGTGACTGTTTTTGATTCCAGTGTTCCCAGTGTTAATTTTTTTTTTTTTAACTTTTCTCTTGACCTCTCCCATGCCCCCTGAGTTCCCCAAAACTTCATTTGGCAGGCAGCTGTTCATTTGGCATTTAACACTGAAAACAAAACGAACTCTCAAGGGTTTATCTTTTTCTTTTAGAAAGGGCCCAAAGTAACCTTCACTGGTACTGGTATTAATGTACACTGCCCTCTGAATTAAAGTTAGCGCCTGCTCTTCCTTCAGTAGTATTGTTCTTCCAGTACAGGTGATGGGTTACTTTGAACCAGCTACCTTGTCTGTTTTCCCGCTGGCCACTTGCACATAGTATCTCACTGGTAGAAAAATACATGAGCAAGTCCCAACAATGGCCTCATGAACACCCTCAGTTGACTGTCCTAGCAAGGCAAATGGGACACTTGGATGGACAGGAGGTGAGGAAACATAGTTGTAAGAACTTGTAACCTGTACCTGTGTAAATCATTTAACTAGTATATAAAAGATTATCTCTCTGTTAGGGTTTTTTTTTCATTTTATTTCCATCACAGTAAAACTAGAATAATAATTTTTTTAAATGATCTTTTATACCAAACCTGAATATGTTTGTCATCTTTATTTTGGATGATGGAACCATTTATACAGTGGTTTCTGACCATAAAAATATAGATACTAGACCCATAGTGAGAAAGTCTTACATGTTAATAAGTGTGTGATTTTCATGGCATATGTTAATCCAAGTCCATATTCTAATATGTTATGACTAGAAAGTACTTAAGACTTTAAGAATAGATATTTTAGAACTTATACATCAAAATGAGTGTTGTCTATTGGGGAGTTCCTCCCATAATCCATCAGTGCCTGCTTTGATCAAAGTATTTTTGGAACTACTGTTCTTGTTATTTGGCTTTTTTTTTTTTTTAATACTTTATTTGAGAGGGAGAGAGAGCACAAGTGGGGGGAAGGGCAGAGGGAGGGGGAGAAGCAGACTCCCCACTGAACAGGGAGCCAGACATGAGATCACGAATTGAGCCGAAGACAGACGCTTAACAACTGAGCCACCCAGGTGCCCCTGTTGTTGTTATTTGTTACCCTAAATAATATTACCCAGTTAGGTTTATTTCCCCATCTTCGCATACCACAGTCTGTGACAATTAACTTAATAAAACTCTTAGTTGATGAATTTAGGGTTTTCTAACTAATATGCCACTTAACTCTTTAGGAAGTTTCAGAAGAGGGTCTCAGAATGTTATAAACAATACTTTTATCATTGCATAAAGGCGAACCTTTCCAAGGCAACTCATTTGGAGTGGCAGTCATTTGGATGAATTAGTTATAAAATTATTTATGTTATTGATATGCCTTAGGTATTTACTGACTTGTATTTAGTCATTGAAAGTGTCATGAGAACATCCTTCTGTTTCATTTTTGTGGTAGTTTAGTGATAAATCATCAGGTGTACAGAAGAACTGAAAACCTAGCCAGTTATGCATGTGGAAAGATAGCATTAATTGTTTCATACCAGTAAGTAACCTTAAACATAAATCTCAGATAATTATAATAGATAACATAGTAATGACTACCATGGTATATTGTTCATTAAGGATTTTCACAAAGGTTTTCCTCTTTCTAAAATCTTGTTAAATGCTGAAATTGGGCTAGCACTGCTGTTGGTGTTTAAGAAAACCGCCTAGAGACCCTGTTGCAACGGTACTCACATTTCAGCTGTAGTCTGGGGGCTAGAAAGGCCTGAGTGCCTAGTTTTTGAGGAGAACATTTCAAAGAGCTGGTGCAAGCAAGCATCAGTGCCACTAAAGCTACTATCTGGGAACACTGCATTTTTAAGAGTCAAAGGTTCACAAAGACTTTTCGTGTACCAGTGTCAGATGTTGTGGTGTTCACTTTTAGACAGAAGCAGACTGCACGCATTCTAGGTCATGCTGACGCAAACACAGCAAGGTCTCAGTCATATGTGAACAGAACCCAGAAATAACTAAGAATTCAATGAGAGCATTAGTATCTTAAGAGTTTTCACTTTTATTGAAAATTAGATTGGTGGACTGAGTTGCAGTGTACCTTTTTTTCCCTTCCATAGCTTGATCATGACTTAAAACACGCTCATGAACTCCGCCAGGCTGCATTCAAGCTCTATGCCTCTCTAGGAGCAAATGATGAAGACATCCGGAAGAAGGTGAGTCTGGGAGAGGGGCGTCCCCCAGTCCTGACAGCCAGCAGGCAGGGAGTGACGTCAACCTGAAAGTCGTGGTGAAGAGCACTAACAGTGACTGTTTGAATATAATAAAGCAGAATGACTAAAGGCATAATTGAAGAATGAATGGGACCCGGATTTGGGGGTTGTTTGTTTTTAGAACATAGAGTGGCATGGCCGTGCTGGAATGACAAATAACTGGCGTGCTTTTTTCTGTCATTAATATGAATTATTATGTTGCACATTTTTGCATGTGTTCTGATAAAATCATTTCTAGCACTGTGAAGCTTCAGACACCTTGAAAGATCTAACACTAGAATTGTAAATGTTATTTATGGAAAAACTTTCCAATGCCATTGAGAAATTCAAATCTTTATTGTATATTGTTCTTTGATATGTGGCTTAGTTATGTTTTGATTTTTTTTTTTTTTTGCTACTGTGCAAGTTTGATGTGAATAAAATCTTTGTGGAATAATGATTTTATGTTTAGTGAGTGGTCATCTGAATTTTCCAGTTCCCAAAAAAATGTATCACTGGTCTAGCACCTTATGTTACTACAGCCTAGTCTAACACTGAACTCAGGTTCTTTATAGAATAGTTCTAAGCAGGGACTAAAGTAGAGTGTTAAGCTCTGACCTGGCTGCCTCCACAAACCAAAAGGCTGGAGCTTACCACTCAAAAAAATACATCATCTGATAAATTTTACACATGGCTTTTAGGAACATCAGTAAATTAATCCACATGTTCTGTCTTGATGAATTATAGCAGAAAGAGCAAATTGGCATTATTTATTGAAACATGGTGATTTATTATATCTCCCATCTGTAGCCCTGTGAGGAAAACCAAAAAGTATTGGGAATTTACCATGATTCAGAGAAGTACTTTGGGCTTGTAGAGAGAGAGATAGAAGTATGGGGAAAACTGTAGGTTTATTGAAATAAATTGAAAAGGAACCATTATTGGAGAAAATTGAAATAATAGTAGAGAGATTAGATATGTGAGTAGCTTTGATTTAAAAATCAGTGCAAAAAACACAACTAAACTGAACATTTTCCATGTACCTCAATTTAGTTCAGTTAACAGGATGCTTTTGACTTGAAGTGTTTAGTAAATATCTATGAAAATCCTTTTTGACACTTCTAAGCTTTCATTTGTAATCTGTTACTTCAAGGCAAACATACTAATGATCTGATATTCCCTGTGTGTAAGCATGATTTATGGATATTGATACTGATATGTTGCATTCAGTTTAGGTACATGGTGTATTGCAAGGGAAGAGGCTTTTATGGCAACTCATATAGATAAAACATTTTTTAAAAAATTGACATGGACTGTATAACTTAAATACATAATGATTTGGTTTTGGATGGTTATTAGGACCATTGGAAAGAGAAGTATTTTACCTATTCTTTTAGCTCAAGAAGGCTGTGCCATGTACTGAAAGGGAGATAGATAGATGGACCATAATGGGGGGGAAATAGGATGTCCATTTGTACTTCTTTGTACTTTTTTGTTAATAAACTGTTGTTTTGGAATTAATGACTTAATTTGTGATATCATGTTCTAGAAATACTTGCAACATAATAGTCTGATCAGTAGTCTATTAAAACTTGTATTCATAATGTGTATAATTTCCTGGTAAGGCTAAATCCTGATAATTTCTGTAGAAAGATGACAAATAAAGAATAAGTTATAATTATTTTTTTGTGTGGTAAAGAAAAGATACTGTGACGTTCTTATGTAATGGGGATTTATAGAGTTTTTAGGAAGATATTTAATCCTGGGAAATTAAGTGTTGAATAATTTACAGTTTATAGCAACTATTGAAGAGAGAAATTGTAAAATGGAAAATATAAAATAATTTTGTGATAAAATCTGCATGAAAATGGTTCTTAGAAGTGGAGAATCCTTATTTTCAGTGTATAAAAAATGATAAAATGATAACTCTTCCTTTGCATTTATTTCTATTCCTTTTTTTTTTGTCAAAATAATTATCTGGATAGATTTCTATTTACTTTCTCCATGAAATATTTATTTACCTTTTACATTTATGCCTTATAAACTTTGATTGTATTCCTTTTTTGTGTAGATTCTTGAAGTACAATGTTTATTATTGTTTTATTTTTTAATGCAATATTTATGCTTGTCGAGATGGAATTTCAGTTTACTGAATTAATGAGTGGAGACTCTGTGAAAGAGATTTCAAGGACTGTAGACCTGTTCTCCCCAACAAAAGCAACAAAAGGCTTTTTGTTTTAGGATAAAAATATGAAGTGTTAATTTGGTCTGCCTTTTAAATTAAAAATGAGAATATATTCAGTAAATACAGGAGATAATCTATATATCCCATTTCCCTATAATGGCCAATTAAAGAAATGAGGCAGAATGAGAAGAGAAAACTAGAGTAAAGAGGTAGAGACAGGTATGCACAGCAATAAAGGAGAAAGATAGAGGCCTTCTCTCATCATAGATTTAGTCTGTCTTCTTGCTTCAAAAAACTTCTAAAGGCCTGCTGTGATTCCATTTCTTGATCATTCTCTCTGGGCTAGAAAAAATTAAGCTAACGACTGAACATGACCTGTCGATTAGAAATTTACCACTCCTGCGTTGGAGCAGTGTTGGTGTATTCCCATTAAAAGAAAACAACTGTATAACAGTCCTTGGAACCTAATAAGCACTCAATAAATATTTGTTGAATAAATATAGAAATGAAAATACAGAAACCATACACAGAGTGGTATTTCCTTTAATACGCTTGGATCTTTCTGTATCCTTCTGTGCAGAGCAAAGCTGGTATCCGGATTCCTGGCTTTGCCTCCTTTATCACTCTGTGACATACTTACAAATTTCCCAATTTCCCACAGTGTCCTGTTAGAAAATGAAGGAGGGTGGAAAAGTTCTGCAGTTGAAAGTGGAAAACATTACTCTTGGCTGTGACATAAAGAGGGAGAAGCCCAAGAAAAGATGAAGGACCACTGAGCTTGAAACAGAGGTGGCCTGACCATATTCCACTCAGAATAATTCAAGGATTTTGGTCAGAGAAAGCAAGGGCAGAGGAGCAATTGAGAGCTCAGTGGATAAAGGGTCCAGAGCACATTAGCAGTAAGTGCACTGGCAGCAGTGCCAGGTAAAGATGAGCTGTAAGCTCTGCCCTGGGCAAAGTCTAGTTTCTAATGATAGCTTTAGCACATGTTCATGCTGACTAAAAAGCGTATGTTCAGTTAATGGGACAGTAACAAAAGAAAGAAGCTAAGATACCTAAGATTATTACAAATACTGGCATCCCCAGTCAAAACTCCAGTCAGTGGTTAAGTCCTACAGAGGCAGCAGTGGCAAACAGTCCTGTAATTGTGAAGCCAATTCCTTTCTAATAAAAAAATTGCTCTTACAAAGACCATCACTTGATTAATACCTATTGGTCATCAGTTAGGTTGGAAATTGAAAGGATTGTTTTGCTTTTACTCTCTACAAGGAACTGGTAGAATTTATCAGAAACAGAAAGTGTAAATTGAGGGAAATAGAAGTAGTAAATATAAACTAAAATTCAAGGAAGTTAATAAACTTAACATGATGCGATTTTTATTTTTGATAAAAATAAGACACATTACAAATGTTAAATATAGTACTGTTGTAACCTTTGCTCCTTTGAGGTGTCTGACTGATGGAGCCTTTCAGAAAGTTTTCCTCTTGGATTTTGAATACTTATATTTTAGCTGCAGATCCCTTTTGAGGAACAAGAATGTAAGCTCCATTGAGGGCAGGGATTTTTTATGTTTGGCTCATCACTGTATTCCCAGAATCTACAACATTGCTAGGTGCTTAGTTGGCACTTAATACATATTTGACGAATGGGTGAAAAAAATGAATGAATGGACAAATGGATGAGTGAACCACATTGCAAAATTGCATTATTAAGTACCCTTAATCCAATTATATTTGGGCCTTTCTGCATTGAGAACTTACATAACTTTATTAGCAATTACACAAGTATGTGAAGAGATGAGCTTGAAAATATAGAAATCTATATCTGATCATATAGGCAAGGGGTTTACTATATTTAGCATAGAGAAAATGCAAGAAACTCCCATTTTTCAAAAGGCAGACAATCCCAAGCGTGTGTCTTCTCACTTTGATAATAGATCAAAGAGAACATGTTTTATGGCATGGTAGTTTAATTTTGAAATGATTTTTATCATTACTTCTTAGGGGTTCTTTTGCTCTATAAATGTATGAGTTTAAAAAATTTATAGCATTCACAAGTGTGAATCTGGACCAGTTTTTCCCCCCCCTTAGGGATAAAGGTATGATTTGGTTTATAGGAATTAGCCTGACTCTTAGGAATCAACCTATTCTGCAATATACATCAGTATAAAATAGTATCTCCCCTATTAATGAATGTCAGATTTTTAAGATCAGTAATTTGATTCTACATAGATTGATTGAACTTCCTACATTGTATAGACATTGTCCAATGGGTGGAGGGAGGGGGAAGCAAAGGTGAAATAAAGAGCAGTAAAACACAGCCTTAAAACTCAGCATTTATAATAAAACCTCAGTAAGTCAGAGAAAAGTAAGAAATGAACAATAAGAATTTGCTAGGCGCTTAAAGAATTATTGGGAACCAATTAAAATGGACATGGTGATATCAATATAGCTATCCTTGAATCAATTTAGAAATTATTAATATTTTTGTTATTTTTAGTGTTTTCTAAATACCTTTTATATTTTCAAGAATTGAAAATATGAAGTCTTAAGTTTTTGTTCCTTGTGGGGGGCGGGTGATCATCCAGTCATAGATGTTTTACATGATAAATGTGAAGAAAGTAGCCAAGGGTGAAGAGTCGGTTTTTTGCGTTTTTGTTTTTTTTTTAAGGCAGAGAAAAATAAAAGGAAAACAAAGAAGGAGAATTTGTCCTCTACCCTCTTTTTCCCAGCAGAGGAAGTTATATCTACAGGGTCATTGTGAGGATGAGATCTAATGT